AGCTAACTAAGGGAAGCTCACACTTGTAGGGGTTTTCTCTGTCTAAACATGCAGAGAATTGTATATGTTCTCACTCTACACATGCATAGGATGGCCATCTGTCCAAATATGAATAGGATGGATTGCACTCTGTCTAAACAAGCATAGGATTGCACTCTTTTAAATATACACAGGGACCCAGAGACAAAGACCTTTTCTCTGTCTAGACACGTACAAGACTGCACCCTGTCTAAACATGCATAAGATGCACCCTTATTAGTTCCTTGTAATGGGTCTACTCTATATAGGACTAACACTGAAAGCCATCTATGGTGTGCAGACACGCCACATGGCCAGCACAGACGGCATTTGGCTGCTCTATCTGTGGGCTGTAGAACTCATCTGCACACATGTTACTAACAAAAAGTAGTGGGCACCAGTATTAATGACACCCAGGAAGCTGAGCACAGTGATTGCACAACCATTCATCACATCCAGCTTCTTATCTTCAGAAGGACTAATTATTGAGATGCATGCCACCAAAACATAAAATGTAAAAATATTATTACCTTGAATTTTGGTATGATAGTGCTCTTCTCTGAGGCTAATTTTTATTGGACTGTACTCTGCACCTGTATCTGTCTTGGGCAGGTTTACCTGTTTTGGGTTGTAAAAAGCATTTGATAATACAATTCATGAAAAACTTATGTGGCTACATCACTTTTAGGTAGCCTGATCTGGTGCCTTTGCAAAATGTTGGGTTGCAGTTCTTATCATTCTCATCCATGAGAGCAGTTAAGAGGCCAATAGGCCTGTAGAGCATTGGGGAACGCTGGCTGAAGTTAGAGCAAAAATTGCTCTAAACATTTCAGGGAACTGGAAAACAGAGGGCTGTGTTATGTGACACAGCCCTCTAAAAGGGTATGGCTAGGCTTACAAATATAGGATGCAGTTCTGGCAATGCTGTGTGTGCTTCTACGCATTAGTGATTTCAACTGGCTAGAATTAAGCATGTGTTGGTAAGGCTCCAAAATAAATTAATGGAATTCAAAATGCCTCACTGTAGATAGATCAAGCTCACAATATTCTGTGATAGCTCACAATATTCTGTGATCATGGGGATCCCGCCTGCCTGGGTATTGCTGTTCTTTTAAACACCCAGGTTTTATTTACTTACTCACTGGGGTATGTTTCAAAACAACATGAAGATGACAACTCTTAAGTTCTTCCAGACAAACCTGCTATCATCAACTGACTTAAGATGAGTACTTGTTATCCTTATATTGATTTGTACTTTTAATTCTGTTTGAAGTACACCAATATTGTTCTGACTGTAAGAAGAATCTTACATTGCTTCCCCTTGCTTGCTGCATTTGGGAACATGAGATCTGGTCAACAGATCTGTTCTAGGAGCAGGGAAAACTGGCTCCATACACTTGCTTGGCAAAGTTTCAGCACTGTTACCTCCAGGAGGCAAACCTCTGCTTACCCGTTGCTGGTAAACATGCAGCAGGAGGGGTCAGTTGCCTATAGGCTTGTTTGTGGGGCGGCTGGTTGGCTACTGTGAGAAATAAGATGCTGGACTAGACAGACCTTTGGCTGAACCCAAGAGGGTGGTTCTTATGCACTCTTTAGCAACCTTAGTTGCCCTGGTAGTAACAATGGGGACAACAGTGATCTACCTCACTATGGATGATGAGAAGCTAGAGTAGAACCTACCAGCAGATGTGCAGTTTGCTAGCATATATCCTCATGGACAGTACCTTAATGAGAGGCCTCCATGAAAGATCTAGGTGCTTAAAGGTCGTGGGCACATCAGGTGGAGCCGCAATGATCTTGTCCTCCTTTTTCTTCTCATTTGAAGGCTGGAGAGCAGGCCTGTGAGCTCGGAGATCCCAAAAGTATATTGTGCTGCCAAGGAACAAGGACAGGAAGGGCCACGGGGTTAAGAAGTCAGTGAGGGTGATTCCACTATATCCAAAAGTTCCCAGTAGATATAGCAGAAAAATATCACCCCCCAGGCTGCTTTAGGGCCATCTGATCCTCATATGGACTTTATAATTCAGATGGGCTTGCACGAAACTCGCTTTGTACAACTCAGTAAAATGGCCCATGCAAGAGAATTGTGCCATTTACTCCTGAAAGTAAAAAATAAAACTTAAGACTCCCAGTGGAACCAGCCAATCAGCAAATACGAAGGGGTGGGGGGAACCCTTGCTCTTCCCTATCAAGCCCAGGTGCTTTGGCATACAGGAGGAGTGGACTATCATTGGCTCATATTGTTCTCAAAGCCTGGTTTTTCCCCTGCCACTTGTCCTTTGTGGCCAGCCACTCCAAACACGGTGGAAGGGAGGCGATCCCCAGACCTCCCCACATCTCCCTTTGCTGGAATGTGAAACAAGATGAAGAATTCACAAAAAGGCACCACAGAGCTGAACCTTGCAGCTAATACTTTTGGAACAGCTCACCTAGTAGAGTATATTGCATTATCAAGATACTCCTCTCTTTGAATCTAATTAGGAGGACTCCAGAAAAGAATGGAATTTTTAAAAGGAGTATGGAAAAGGGCAAAATCAAAGAAATCATGAAGACTTTCAAGGAAGGCTAAATTGGGTTCTTTTTTCGGCCCTTCGGCAGGCAGGCAAATATGCTTTATCCAAGCAAACCTTGGCACATAAGGTGATCTGTTTGGAGGAACACTTGTTGTTGTTGCTGTGTTTCCATGTATTTGTTTTAGCTTTGTTTTAATCTTATTATATATCTTTGTTCTTAAGATGGTAAGCTGCCATGAGTGCCATTTTCTTGGAAGGAAGGTGTGAAACTGGTTTACTGGCCTGTTCATGGGACACCTTGATTTAAGAACCCAGGATATGACCCAGGAGCATGAGGGGCAGCAAGGTAAGGAGTGAGCATGTGAGCTGCACAGGCCATTCCTGGATTGCTGCACAGAGATAATGATGTCTGAATTGGGCCTTTGTGTAATAAACCTTAAAAATAAAATAAAAATCAGTACCAGTCTGGTGAGCAGGTGACAAGCTGTATACAAACTCCAGCTCTGTTTTCAAAAACAGTGCCCATTCTGTTGAGCTAAAAAAGAACAATGAAAATAGCACTTGGCATTAAGGCACATCTGTCCGGCACATCTGTCCCATTAAATCTCTAAGATCAATGCTTAAAATATATCAGTAGAATTCAGAATTTAGCTTTTTTAACATATTCCAGCTTAAATTCCAGTATGATTATTGATATCAAATTCCTGCCTTTTCCGAAACAGAAAAGTTGATAAAATACTTCAAAATGATAAAAGTTTAAAGTCGTAAGTTCTCAAGTTCAGCATTTTAAGATTCAAATTTTAACACTGCTCAGAACTGCATCCTACTGTGGGTGCAGAATAAACTCACCAAGCTGGCAAATGCATAATTTCAGTCTGATGTTAGCAACCACACGGGGAGTGTGGACTGAATCGGTGTTCGAATTAAAGTGAGTACCTTTGGTGCTTCTTACATTTCCAGGAGGCTGTGGGGATCACACTATGCTTGGTTTTACTAACCATGCCTAATAACTCGGGCACTGGGCTGAAGATGGTGCAGGGTGGCTTGCTGGATTCAAGTGCATATGCAGCACAGGCCACACCTTTCAAAAGCACTCAGCTAGCTGAAGTTTAACAGGAAGGTTTTCTGACAGAATCCAAAAGCCTGCAATGCTTATACTTCGACACTGGGGTTTCTGTGGTTTCCTTTCTACAGCGTCTGACAAGCCATTCAGCCCCACCATGCAAAAGCAGGTGTGCGTGCACGTTCTCACATAGAGCCCGTATCTGCAACATGGTCCACCTTGCAGTGCTTGAAATAATGCATGTAAACTACTTTGAAATTAGATACTTGCTTAAGAATAACCTTCCTCTTGGGCTAGGTTAGAAATTTCCAGGCTTAAAGAAGGCATGCAATGAACAACTTGTCCAGGTGTGACAGTCAGATTATGCTCATTATCATCATAGAGTTGTCCTAGTCACATTAGAATGTTTATTGGTATTTTCTAAACAGCCAATGTTTGTTCTCAGAATACCAACCCATTGCCAAATAGCAACTGGTCCTGCTTTAGCAGAGAGCATAATGAAAGTGGTATCAATGAACGGACAAGAGAACCAAAGTGCATGCTTACATCTTTCTCAACAATGCTTTTCTTAATGGATATGGGGAAGGGAAATATGTGTCCATCAATGTATACAGCCATATGTGAAAATTACTGGAATGCCTATTCTACTCCAGTTACTTGTGTAGACATGACCTTCCTGCAACAATCAAATTTATGTGCATGCCTATGTGAAGCAGAATAACAGGGATGAACAATACAGAGCTTAAATATGCTTGTTTAATGATGTGCAGATAATTGTTCATGCATTGGTCCCAGACAGCAATACCAATGTCACAGGTAAGGCAATATCTGTAGATTTTGCATTAGTGGAAGAGGTTGGAAATATTAACTGTATCTTACCTCAAACATTTCTGGAAGCCACTGTATATCTGTTATTACAGACTTATGACCATATTCTATGGATGAGACTGCGCAATATCTCACCAGGTGTGGCTCCTTCCCCGTCTGCTGCTGCAGCATGAAGCTTGGCTAAAATTAAACATTATTTCCTTAGAAGGAAAGTAGTTGCCACTTTAAAAAATAACTAGCATGTTGTTTAACTCTGTTTTGTTAATCGGAACCTCTGTTGGGGAGATCACAAAGATCACTACAGTCTGGTGTACAAACAGCATAATTTAAAAAAAGAAAAGAAAAACTGAGCATGTCTCTCACTATTTGTAGAAACACAATTATATATAGATATAATTCTAATAGGTGTGCTTTCTTTGCATCCATTTTCGCCTATTTTTTTCTAAAGCTGTCCTGATGGGCATGGTTTTGGTTTGCAAGAAAATAACCTGCAAAAATTCAGTGATATATGTTGACCTAACTAGATGGCCCAGATTCTAGGAGTTCAATAAAAGACTCAAGGAACCTCAGTCTGTTTAAAAAGAGGAGTTAGAACAAGCCAAGATCAAACCATTGTTCAGACTCTGGCTTGTCTGAAATCACTATTTAAACAATCTATGTTTGCCTGAACATTAGCCTGAATGTAGAGCTGTGATTTGTTGAAAAACATAACGGAAAAATACTAATTTTCTTGAAGTCACCTCAAAGGAACAGCAGAGAAATTGTAAGCCTGGAGTGCATACAAGTTTTTACATTCACTTATTCAGACCCACTGAACTCAGGTTTATATAGGATCTCCTTTATCTGTTCTTACCTTCTTCTTCCATGACATTTCTGTCCATGCATACCAGAACCTGAGAATGACTGGGGCTCTGTTCATATGTAGGGAAAAATATCTTGTGTCCATCAGTCCTAAGTTAGCAAAACTGCATTAGGAAATGCATTTGGTGGAATGATAAATAGAAACATGAAGTACTAACCATGTTAACAGTAGTGCTCTTACTTCCACCTGTTCCTGACTTAGCGTTAAGCAACCTCTCTTCATATTCTGAAATATCCCACAGTACAACCTGGAATAAGAAGCAGAGGGTAGGCAGATTAACATGTTGTAAGGCAATTCTTTTTGTCATTGTGCCACGTGACAGAAAGGTGAAATATATAGATATTTTCTACAGAAAGAAGATATACTTGAGTTTACAAAAAGTAATGGGTTTAGGGAAAAAGGATGGGGTTTTAAAAAGTGCAGTGTCTTGAATATTAAGACATCTCACACATCAGCCTAGAGCTCCTAATGTACTGAATTATACTAAAATGAAACCAGGTCCTGAATTATCCAAGTGAAAATACATGTGATGCAAAAGTGCAGACAGTCAAGAGGGATGGAGAGTGGACTGGTAGCGGTGAAAATCACTGTATTTCATATCCTGGAGCAATCGGTTTGCCTGTTTCAGAGGCATCATTATGTTAAACTTTGCCACCATGAGGCACAGAAATGTTCCCTTCCTACATTTCTTTCCCAGAAGCAAAATTTAAAGCGTAAGGTCCTTGGGGACAGGGACCTGTCTTTTCCTTTAGGAAACTGCAACACATTATGTGCATTGTCAGTACCGTCTAAACGGCAGTAGTAATTATGAATTATATTAATCAATTTCTTTGGATGTTTATTGACACCAAGCATTTGCCCGAACTGTAGAGATAGGAAAGTATGGGCATGAGGAAGAATTAGACTCACTAAACCTGGAAGGCTACTAGGAAAGTCCCAGAGCAACACTGCTCAGACACAGTGCAATTCTGTGCATGCCCATTGAAAGGCAAGTCCCACTAAGCCCAATGAGGTTTGTTCCCACGTAAGTGAGTATAAGATTGCAGCTTCAAATATCTCTAAGGAAGAGGAAGGGAATGTTAGAGTTTGCCAGGCTCTGTGTAGCTGCAAATAAGACAAAGGCAAGGAGAGTCTGTGGTTATCAATGGCAAGTCTCTCTGTTGCTCACTGGCCTGGAAAACTTTGTTAGGGATCAACAAGCATTGCCTAGCCTTAAGCCATCGGGGCAAGAAGGCTTCCTTAGCTGCTGTGCCTTGTCTAACTACTGTAATATCTATAGTGTGATGATGCGTGAGAGCCAGTGTGGTGTGCTTGTTAAGAATGTGGGGCTAGGACTCACGCAATCTGGGTTCTAGTCCTGGCTTGGCCATGAAGCCAACTGGGTGACTTTGAGCCAGTCACAGACTCCCAGCCCAACACACTTCACAGGGCTCTTGTTGTGAGGATAAGATGGAGAACAGGAGGAGGCGAATGATGTAAGCTGCTCTGAGTTCTCTGTAAGGAAAAAAGTGCGGCTCCCAGACAAGGGCTGACAAAGATGTTCCTAGGATCCCTGAACCTAATTAACCGGCCCTATTAATTTCAGTGCATCTCCTCTAAGCATAGCCAAGTCTATAGTCAACCCAGTTTAGTCTACAATTTACAGCAGAAAAGATTTGCTGTAAATGGAAGCACGGGCAGTTGGTGGAAAGAGAGAAGGAAAGGGCATGCGGATGTCCTCTACCTGTCCATTCATACAGCCTCCTGCAATTATGTTGGGGTTGCTTGGAGAAAACTGAAAGCTGTAGATATCTTCAGGACACTCCAGCATAAGCTAGAAAACAGATAAGGGCATAGGGTGTGATGGGAAACACATTAGATCGGAGCAAAGTTTTATGTTGAAAGGATTCCTTCTTTATTTCTTTAATACCTCAAACATTAGAGTCTCCCTTCAAATACCTGAGGGTGAATAGGGTCTGCAAAACTCCAGAACAGAATGGGTGCTTTCCACAAGAGTAATTTCCCAGACTGCTGCACTCGATCCTCATAGGAAAGCCGCTCTGTTACTGCCACGGCAACAATCCCTGATTGAAGACACATACAATTCCATTTTCCACAGTGGGAAAGATCTGTGTTCTTTTTTAATATTCATTATAAACATAGACTCAAGGAATCTGTGTTCTTTTTAAAGAAGCCATGTCCAGAATAATGCTTAGCAATTAGCCTGGTTGATTAACTTGATGACACATAACAATATTGTCTCAGAGTTAGGGAGGGCAAAAACTCTTTCTATTCTCCCCAAATTGTTCAGAAGAAATATTGCAATGCATTCCAATATTGCAGTGCATTCCCTGACAGAAATGCTCCTGTTCGGGGCACCATGTAGTCCGTCATAGACCGCTCACAGAAAGAGGGGAGCAAAGACCGCTTTCTTTTTTCTCACCCCACCTCTTGATGCCTCTCCTGGTTGAAGGAATGGAAAAAGGACCAAGATGTGTCACAGAGTCTTGTTTGTGCCAACAGAGGGGGTTTTCTCAGCTAAATTGCCATGCTGGAAGTGGTTTTTAAGGGGAGCTACGGCTGAGAAATGGAAGATTACCCCCCCTCCCCTCCCACACACACAAACTGCACCCTCCAGTCCCCTCCTGCACAGCAATTAGAAAGAGGGCTTGCACTGTTGCCAATGAAAGGCTTTTCCAAAGCTTAATCACCGGTTGAAGGATTTTTCAGGGATCATGGTTGGGGAGAAAAGGGTTAACTCTACCCTCCCTCCATGCTGTGCCCTCCCATAATATTCCCCTGCTCCCACTCCCATGGGCTCCACATCTTTTAAGTATCTAATAACATCCCTGGGAAAATGTATCTAGTTCTTCATTTACAAAAAAATGTATCCACTTTCTGAAATTTTCCATTAAAAAATGCTAGGGCGAGGGGGGAAGGTGGTTCTTGTTGTTGTTGTTATTTTTAATATCCTGCCATGTATCCCTTCCAAGCCTGGTCTTTCTTTTCTATTACACTTACTGTAAACTATTAAAGGCTTGAACAAATCAACTTCTCCATCTTCTTCATTTTCCACTCAACCTGTTTCCTTTTCTTCCCCTCTAGACTGATGCCTCAACCATCCTTAAATTTCAGAAGTTCAGACATCCTTGTTAAGCTAGGATTGGGTCATTTAAAAAGTCTATTTTCTCTTAATGTACAAACACACATACATTAATTCTGCATGTCAAAGAAGACCTCCAAGTATATAGAAATTACCACTTTAATATTGAGTGGCCCCTTTTTGCTTCCAAATTGATGGGTACTCAACCACCTGAGTTTTCAGTTAAAGAAACCCTGCTGAGCAGGAACAACATATCGCTGTTTGGAACAGTTCTCTTCAGGCTGCCAGTCAGCCATGCTCCGCATCTATTTACCCTTCCCCCCGGTTTTCTGCCCCAGTGTTCTGCCCAGAACCAGCTTACAATTCTGTTGGCACTCACCGCCAGAGTTTACTATTAGAGCAAGTGACGATTTTGTACCATCACCATGTCCCCACTTAGCTACTGATTTTTCTATCTGAAAGCACAAACTATATTATATTAGCCATTCCTCAAACAAGGCAGAAAAAGCAAGCAGACTTTGCTGCACACAGCTTCAGTCCAGCACGTCGTTTACCCCTTTAGGGATGATGGAATCCTTGTATTTCACTTTCAGTTCTTACACCACTGGCACAACCTGCCTAGAGGTGACATGCCCTTCCTAGGATAACAAATACTATCTCTTGGAATACCACCATACCTGCTTTGCTCAACACATCTTCTTTTCATGACACCCAGATTTTTCAAAGAAAGGCCAACAAGCCATTAATCTTTAAAGATTTCAAAACATGCCCCAGAATGCTTGAACTGAATATTCTGTAAACTTTACCGTAAATGGTTGGGTGCCAGCAAATGCAGCTAACCGTTCTGTCCTTGAGATAATGCAGGTCTGTAAATGACTGATACTCCTTAAGAGAAACTTCTGATTTGCCTGCAAAGCCACTTTCATCTTCTGCAAGGGCTTTCCAGTCATCATAAAAGGCATCCATTATTTCATTTTGCTGGAGTGCTACTTCCACTCTATGGTAAGGGGCAGTGACAAAGAAAAACCAAATCATGGCTTACTACAACTTCATTGTCTCAGAAAAGATGCTCCTTTCAGCTTAAAATTATTGCTAACACCACAATAGCAGCATACTCAGTGCAACCTGGTCTACATTTGATAGTGAAACCAGAATATAATTGGAAGAATAACTGTCCATAATATATCCTACCCGATACATTTAGGATTAAGTGGATTAAAACGGTGATGCACTAAACTCCTTTCCAACCTGTGTTATTCCAGTCATTCAGGAAAAGCACTGGCTAATTGTTTTAAAAATGCTGAGGCTCAAAACTACCCCTGGAGTCATGTCTTCTAAACCCAAAAATGGAATCTGGGTGTTGCTATTCAGTGACGAAGGAGGACCACTCTGTATATGGACAGAGTCACTCTTTTCATTATTGCTTAGATATTTGAGTGCCTAGGCTTAGCACTGAAAACTGAGGTTGAGATGAGTATTTATAAGCCCTGCTCATCATTAAGTTCTAGCCATGCTAATAGGAATGCCTGTCATGAATATAGCTGAGTATATATAATATTAAAGAGGAAGGCATGACCTGAGTGTAATGGAAGACCTTGTTTTATTTATTCATGCACATAAAAATGTTAGTGTTTCACAATCAGTAGCAGATTACAGTTTATGCAGCCTAGGAAATCACAAACTTAGTGCAGACCTGGGCTGTGAGTCCCCCATCAGCAGCTAAATTTGAACAGGGGCCTTAACTTGATTTGGGAAAGGGCTGGGGGGAAGCAACATTGGCACGATCCTCAGATTCACTCCCCAGGCAGCAAAAGGTTCTCCAGGCTCTTCTCCCACTGAAGAGCACAGAGATCCTGGTGGGCCTCTTTCTCCAGGCACCAATGGAACCAGCTGGACAGTTTTTTATTGGGCCCTGAATCTGACCCCTAGATCCTGAGTTGATGAATTATGTTTCAAAGCAACCTTATTTTTCAAGCAGGAGCCTCTTTGATTCAAGCCACTGTGTTGAATCCATTTGGGAGTCTTTTCTAGGCTGTGGGTGAGGAAATGAGGGTTCTCTTATTCCCTGACTCCCTCAAACAGGGCTAAGAGGCACTGGATTCCACCTGAGGCTTTTCTGGACCTCTGCTCAGAGTGCTAGGCTGGGACTTGGGGACTCAGGAGATCGGGGTTCTAGTCTCACTCGGCCATGAAGGTCTTGGGTGAGTTGGGGCAAGTCACTGACCCCCAACCTAACCTATCTCACAGGGCTGTTGTGAAGATAGATAGAGAACGAAAATATGAAAACCACTTTGGGCTCCTTGCAGAAAAAAGGCAGGGTTGCAAGGCAAGGCAATTTCCTTCGATGTAATCATCTGTCGGTCAGCAGCCAGGCATATTCCAACGGGCTTGCATGCTTCTTGGACTGGAATGGTTCTTTGTAATCACTAAGGGAGTGGTTCTGATGAATTCAGCATCACAGAATCTCCCAACATAGTCTGCACTCTCTCTTTCTCCCTCTCCTTTTTGCACATCCAAATGTCTCTCTACCTCCTGTGATCAAGAACACAAGAAGAGCCATGCTGGATCAGATCCAAGGTCCATTAGTCCAGCATTGTGCTCACATGGTGGATATCCAGCTGTCTGCAGGCAGGACGTGTGCAACAGCACCATCCTGCCAAGTTCCCCAGTAACTAGCATCCACAGCCACATTGCCTCTGATACCCGGGGGGGGGAGGGGGGGATCCAGTAGCCACAGATGACCTTCCTTTTCATGAATTTGCTCAATCCCCTTTTACAGCCATCCATGTATGTTGGCAAGCGCTACATCTTGTGGAAATGAATTCCAAAGTTTAACTATGTGTTATCTTAAGACATGCTTCCTTTCATCCATCTCGACTCTCTGCCTTTTTCAGTCTGCCTTTTCAGAACAGGTGTGCACTGGGTTGCATTTCCATCAAGCTGCCCACCAGAAGCCCAAGATGTCTTTCTTGCTCAAGGCGCTACTAAATCAGATCTCATTGCCTTATACTTGAAGTTGTGGGAGGGGGGGAGTGTTTCCCAAATGTGCATCATTTTACACTTGTTTACACTGAATCACATTGCCATGATGATGCCCGTTCTCTCGGCTTGGAGAGATCATTTTGGAGCAGCTCATTCTCTCTTTTTGTTATAACAACCCTTAACGTTTCATCAGCAGCAACTTGACCACTTCATTGCACAGTCCTAATTTCAGATCATTTATACATCAGTTGAAAAGCTATGGTCCCAATAGAGGCCCTATTTGCACAATGCACTACTGTAGCTAGCCAATCAAGTTGCTTGATGCTTCTTAGGCTCCCTTCCCCACTGCTGCAGTAACTGGCCGACTATTTTCCCTCTCCCATTCCCAGCCACCTTACAGTAGATGAGCAAAGGTTTCCTGACTCCTCACCCCCAAATCCTTCTTCAGCTGCCCAGATCACACCAACCCACTGCCAAAGCAAATAAGTAGTCCTTGCTGAGAAGGGAGAGCCAACACAAGTAGGGAGAAAGGGAGGCAGAATGAGAAAGAAAGCTGAAGAGACATGCTTGAGATGGGTGGGAGCTGCCGGTGGCCTTCAGGTAGCAAGTTAGTGCATTGTAAGCTGCCTAGGAAGGCCTGGGCAGTTATAGGAGGTCTATAAATGTATGTGTGTGTATGAATAAATAAATTCTTGAGAGATGATGCCAGTATGCTGGAGGCTCTTCTCTGGGTGGACTCCAGTTGGTCCAGAGGTCCAGGCGGAAGCACCCAAGGCATGCCATCCAGTGGCCTCAGCAACTTCAGCGGTCTTAGCACTGCGCTGCCATGATTCAGAGCATTCAACCAGGCAAAAACGAAACCCGTGCAGGGCCGATTGCTGCTGTCTTCAGGTGGGCCTAGGAAAGACCCCTGCCTGAAAACCTGGGAAGCCACTGCTAACCAGTGCAGATGGTATTATGCTGATCAACCAGTGGTTTGAGGCGTTACAAGCTAGATGCCAATGTTCTTCTAATTAAAGGATTTGCTGAGGCAGCTTGTTTTAGGCTGAAGCTCTTAAAACTTAAGAGCTGATCAGAATATCTTAAAAAATCAAACCCATTTTTAAATAATTCATACCATCAACATAATTTTGCAAAGTATGTTACTTTATCAGTTACTTGTGGAAACAGTCATGTGACCTTAAAGACTTACTATATTTTTAAAAGTTGGGGGAGACAGACAGAATTACTGTGGGGTTTGGGCCCAATTCTACCAAAATACAGCATTCCAAACTAGAGAATGTCAGACTCCCAACCTTAGCAAGAAAAGGGTTCAGATGCTTAACTGAAATGCCAAGGGTAACAAGCTGAAGATTAGCTAAGCAGCTGGTGAAAACCAGACTGTCTCTGGTTTGGGAGGGGAGATACTGTAGAATAAGGAGGGCCAGAGTGAATTCATCAGCACAGTGGTTTGCTTCAAGGCAAACAAGTAGACCGATTAAATAATGTCTCCCACTGTCTGGCCCACAAGCAGCAGGAACCTCCTTGAGGGTGGAGCCAGCTTCATTTGGGGGAATGGAAGAAGGGAATTCAATTTGGAATCAACTTGTAGCAAGGCTAACCAACCATCCTGATCCATGTTTCTTGCTAACAACTGTTATATTACTTACTCTGTATTACAAATCCAGCCTAGCTCAGTAAAGGGCTGTAGCTAGAAATCTCTTGCCTTGATCTGCTGAGAAAGGAAAAGGAGAGAGATGTGTTCCCAACAGTTGCAAAGAGCAAGGGATGGGAGGTAGACAGGTAGAGGGCAGAAGAAAAGGGGAAACAGAGATCATTAATATATTCCAAAATAAAATGTTAGTAGCAGCAACAACAAAAAGACAAAGAAAGATTTATTCTTGCAAAAGCTTCTATGGACTAGAGCCCAATTCATAGGCTGTAACATCTTGGAATTACCCATTAGAACAGAAAAACCAGCATGTTGACTATACCCTATTTTATGATTTGTGTACAACATCTTGTTTATAGTTCAATTAATTGCTCAATTTATAGTTCAACTGTACATTTTAGATGAGGATGATACCAACCTTATAGCCACAGACAAGATGAAGTTTTTCAGCTCTTCTGAAGACAAATACTTCTCTCTTTCTTCATCTGAAAATTCTCTAGGATAATACTGTGTCGTTGCATTTTGGGGGTAGGTCCTAGGGGAAGGGAAATATACCAGAATGGATCCAGATTTAACCTGGATGAGCTGTGGTGATGAAAGTGAGTTTCCCTGTCCTCCTCTTTTTCATGGCAGCCCTCTGAATGCTACAGAGACCTGATTCACATGATCAAAAATGCCTTTATGGCTTATTTGAATATGCAAATTCTCCCCAGCATATGCTGCAGCTACAGTGGACTGTGGAACATATTGGTTGGAATTTGCATATTCAACCCCTGCCTGAAGCCTGTAGCACTGTTCTAACCAGGGTAGCAAAGTTTGTGAGGGGGTTAAATGGTAACTGGATGAAAGACCACCTGGGAATATCTGAAAATATCATCAGGGAAGGCTGGACCGATATATAGCAATCTACCTTCCCCATCCTAGGATGTCCAGCAGATGTGCTGGCCTGTAACTCCCATAATTCCAGAACCCAGTTATGGAAATTGCAGACAAGACACTGGGAAAGCACCAGATTGGAGAAGGCTATAATAGACAAATCATCTGAAATTATTCTCCCTTCTCCAGCTTTTGAGTTAGATTTCAGCAGTAGTTAATGATGCTTGATTCCATGTTACCCTGAATTCATATAACAAAAAACTGAGTGTAGCTCCAAAATTAATACTGTTACTTTTTTCTTATTGTAATTGTTTTTGTTTGCTTGATTGATTTTGAAGTCTTAAACTTACCATCTCGTCTGAGTTCCCATCTCTTTTTCCTTTGGAACAACCTGTATACCGATATGTTTCTCAAGCTGTCGAATGGTGAAGTTCTTATCCTGATAAGATGTGCATTCCACATAGCCTTGTTTATCGGTTGAAGCATTTCTTTTATGGAATCTAATAGGAACCCCAAATTCTTTGTGTGGACGAGAAATCATATATTTAATCTGTAATTTCAGCCAAAGTAGTTCTTAGTGGAAGAGTTTTCTTGGAGCAACATCATCCATGATTTGATAATTGCATCATGGGGATTTTGTTCAGTTTTTTATTGGTTGATTTTTAATAATCTCTTTTCATATTTTGAATGTGCAACAGAATACCCTATTTGTTGTGGTTTAAATCCACAAAAATAAATTAGCCTCATAGTAACAGAGGTGTCAAAGTTGGGTTGTTTTTTAAACTTATCTTCACATATGTGTAAGACATAACTTTTCCAATATGAATAAATCTTGACTTTGTATAAATAGGGGGAAACAATTTCTTGTATTGCACATTCATATTCTACCACCATGACACAATTTCCATAATTACCAGAACAATCCTTTCCATGTTTAATCAGAAGTCAGCCAATCCCAATATATTCAATGGAGCTAATTTCCAGGCAAAAGTGCATTGGATCACAATCTGATTCTTTATCGATCTTAAATGTTAAATGAACACCCATCTCATAATGGCGCAACGTTTGATGCACAAAGGTACCAGAAAAGAGACTGGGGAAGGAGCTGAGAGCCAAAGGTAGATTGGAGATAGACGTGGGTTGTTTCAGTTATGTTGGGATGGATTTGCTATGGTGCCAGTTTGTTGGGATTCTGAAGGGTCTTCCATGTCCTGATCAAATAATCACAGATGTATCCAGAATCTCTTTGCCATGAAACATTTCACGCATTACCACTTTAGTTTTCTCTGGATAAAATTGTCTCTGGCAAAAGCTAGCAAAAGTTGTGTAAGGTTAAGGCACAATCCTTTTGGGATGTCCATAAACCCTTGAATGTGGAGGCCAATGGCCACCCGTGCAGAAGGGGAGGAGCAGCAGAGCCAATCCTGGCTTTCCCATCCTCCTGATCTTGGTTTTTGCTTTAAGGTCTTTTTCACTTGTCTAGCTGGAGTGTCTCAGAAGGAGAAGGAAGGAGGCTGGAATGGCTTCGGGATGCCTCATACCCTCACTTCTCCAATCTCATCCCCTCCCCACCCCCTTTCCCATTCTCTTTTGCCCCTCCTCTGGGCATACTTAAAAGAGCAGTCAGGGCTGTTCCTTCTGTGTCCACTGTGAGGGAGCAGCGCCCAGAGGTTGATTGCTGTCTCCAGCCTCACTGCTGGAAATTTGAACTATCATACGCCCTCGAACCTCTGCCAACAATGCCTAGAGGTCAAGGGACCACTTCCTTAGACTCATTTTTCTATATGCTTTCTTATTCCACACTAAAGTTACCTTATGAAAAATGAAAGGGTCCCAGTGACCCACTGGATAACCAAAGGAAATCCAGCTTTTCCTATATTTTATAACTTTTTAAAGTCATAGCTGCAATATTGTTGCTTAGTTCTGCAAATAAAACAATGTTATCCCTTAGAGTCCTGACCTTCCTAGTTGATTCCTTTAGTGACTCTTCTTCAATTTCCTTTTCACTTCCAAGTGAGACCCAAGGTTTGTGCACTGGAGGCTTATAAACAAATTCTTCCTGGACCTCTTTAACTTCTTTTTCTTCTTCTTCTGGCTCTGGAGGCTATCAGGGGAAATATTTGCAAAGGTTTAGAGGTAAAGCTATTTCATAACTTAATGCAATCTTCAAATCTACTTCTTTTCACCTGGTATCAGTCTCAGCAACCTTTATTCAACCTTTTATATTTGAAAAAAAAAAAGATGCTTACAGTTTTCAAAATGCCTTACATTTAAAATGCTTTCCTTGGCCTCTTCAGTTGCAATAATATAAAATATTTGACCATACTTTAATTCTTTGTCAAAAACTAAAAGAAGTTCTTCTCCAGGATAATCCTGTGTGAATAAAAACAAATGAGAAGTTTCAAGCAGAAATAACTTCTATATCCAGCTACAAATGACATGACTTTAATATTAATATGGATTTGGGGATTTGCCAACTACAGTCTTTTTCTAGCATGAACTGCTTCAAAGGTCCTGCTGCCCTTGAGCATCTTCCTAAATGAATCCTCTTCTCTCCCACCACATGTGATAATACTTTCTACCACCCAGTCAGGGCCAGCTGAACAATTTCTAGGTCATCACTGCCTCTCCTACACTGAATACTATCACCTACCTTTGGGGGAAGCTAGCAGAAAGGCCAGAGAGTTGGACGTTTCCCTGATTTATCCTCAGCTCACCAGATCCACAGCACGTATCTAGTGCCCTACTTTCAGAATCCATGAGAAACATTTGTTGATACCTTGGAAGACATGGGCTCCCCTCAAAAAAAGCAGAGATTTTGCTGTAGAAAGGGGGCTGAGTCCCCCTTTTCACAGGCACTGCTCACCCTAGGCTTTTAAAACACCTGACCCTTTTGTCTGACAGGTGTCAAATACTTCAAAAGGATGGGAGAGCTTGGAAACTACTTATTTAGGGGCCAGCGAGCTTTGCCAAAGTTGAGCAGGCAACCCTTCCCCCCCCCCCCCCCCCCGGCACCACCATCTCCATTGTTTCTGACACATACGTTTGATTGCCTGCAGTTGTGCATGGGTAGCAATATTTTTTAAAAATCATGCTTATTTGCAAAAAATAATTTACGGAAAAATTACAAAACTGTATATACCTACTCTGGGCTGCCCCTCAAAGGTAGCACTAGTGTAACTTGGAGGGAATGTTCATGTAAGGTTAGCTTGGAATCATGAAAACTGGCTTGAGAAGCAGCTTCCCCTGGCAATGGGGAGGGAGGGAAACCTCTGTGTTCCTGCAGGGTCACCTCCAGGAAGACCAAAGGGGAGAGGACAACCAGGAATCCATCACACTCCCTATCATCTTTTGCTGTCATCATGGGCCCTTCAGCAAATGACCCACACTGCACTGCTCGTGGCACAGTATGGGATGCTGTGTTGTCTGAACCCACCCACTACATCTCAGACTGATGTCAGGATTGATGTTAAAACTGGTCCATCTTGGGATGCCTCAGCAATCATGATACAAGGGACTCTCCTTTCCCTACATGCTATGGAGGCTGCTGGTCTCATTTGTAACACATAAAATATCACACATTTTCCCTGCCAGCATCTCTAGGATTCCATTTTAAAGTGAAAAGGTTTAAAAGTATTTTACTGTGCAACCCAAGTTTAATAAAGTAGTCACTTCATTAAGTTGCAGCAAAAACCATGAAAGAATAACTCACTAAAACCATTTTTTTGATGGGATGGAAATCAGAAATTGCAGCTCTTGTCTTCATATCATTAATGATGTCCTCTTTTTTCAGAAGTTTGTAAGGATTTTCAGCTGAGACATCTACGTCAACGCGGCAATTAAATATTTCCTGTGTTTTTTCAGTGAGGACCAAGGGAAAAATTTCTGGGTGTCCTGAGCAAGTAATAAAGATCTTTTAAAACCTTTTTAAAAGATTCACAGCATTCCAAATATCACAAGCATTCTGAAATAACTTTAAAGTTATTTGTTATCCACAGGGAATTACTGAAATTAAATAATAAGATAGGTTTTTTCCTCAGTATTACCCTTGCTAATTCTTTTGACCCTATACTCTTTCTGTATTTACCATCTGGTGCTTTAAAAAAAAAAAAAAAAAACCACTCCAGCTGTATCAAAACTGAAGCCACAGCCAGTCTTCCAATAATGCAAAGCAAGAGTAATTTATCAAGCAATGTTCCTTTTGCTCCAGAAAAATTCTATATTCTAGAATATAACAGACTAGCTGTATGACATACAAAGAGATTACAAACTTCTTTGGGATCCAGTGAGAAATATTTATCAAACTCAGAAATTGTGGCAAAACAGCTGTGTGCAGCTAAGGAGGTCTCTGGCATGTAGCCGGAAATAAATTACAGTTCTGAAGGTTATGACTACCTTTCTAAAAATTTGGCAAGTAAAAGCATGCTCAAATTTGTAAATTGTAGGTTCATGCCAAAGTTTTTGTTCCATTTCTGGAAATCTAATTCTATATATGGATTTACAGATTCACTGATTCATAGAACAGCCAAGTCAGAAGGGGCCCAGAAGGTCATCAATTCCAATCCCCTGCTAGTGTGGGATGCCAGTTCCACTCCGATACCTGTCCAATTGCCTCTTGAATGCATCTAGTGTGGAAGAACACACAACCTTTCTTCACAGCTGGTTCCACTGTTGTACTGCTCTCACAGTTAGGAAATTCTTCCTTGCATCTAGCCTGCTCCTGGTGTACTGTACTTTAAGTTCATTGTTCCGTGTCCCACAATCTGGGATGAGTGAAAATAGGTCTTTTCCTTCTTTGTGACAGCCTTTGAGGTACCTGCAGAGTGCCACCATGGTCTTTGTACAGTATTCTTCTTTTCTCAAGACTGAACAGGCTCAGTTCTTTAAGCCTCTCATCATAAGACTTATTTTCCAGGCCCTTTATCATCTTTGTTGCCCTCCTCTGAACTCACTCCATATTATCAGCAACTTGAAACTGAATCCTGTATTCCAAGTGAGGTCTGACTAATGCAGAGTAGAAGGAATTGAGTACTTCTCTATTTCTGGAAGTGATGCCTCAATTTATGCATTCCAAAATAGTGTTTGCCTATTTGTGGCTGCATCACACAGTTGGCTCATATTTAGCTTGTTGTCTACACAACTCCAAGGTCCCTTTCACTCTCAGTGCTGGTTAGCCAAGTATTCCCAATTTGTCCCATAACTGTTAAAGGTACAAGACAGGATACTTGTAAGGACTGGATTGCCGAACTCCCTGCCCTAGGAGGTGTGTTTGTTTCACCACTACGGATGTTTGAACGTTTGAATGAAACAAGATTGTTTAATCTGCTTTTGGTTTACACAAAGTGGTGAAGTTGCCTTTCATGATATATTTTGGGGTAGGATGCTGTTGATGTTTAAAATATTGTATGATTATTGTATAGTAATTTATGTTGGTTTTTAAACTGCATTTTACATTAGTATTTTAGCTGCCTTGAAGTTCCACTCTGTTTAGCCAAAAGTCAGAATAGAAATATCTCGATTAATAAATACTAAGAACCAGAGAAAACAAGATCATCTTCAAGATGGCAGACAGTTCTTCCACTTTATATTTAAAAAGCAGACATATTTTGTGTATTTTAATGTTGTTTTAAATCTAAAGTTGAGAATATTGATCAGCTTAAGTACACATGCTTTGGGAAACTCTGCTCCATTAATCCTTTTTTTAGAACTAACCTAACAATAAAATCCAATTTTAATCTTTCTCATCTAGAAATCTAAATCTCTCAACAACTGTCTATCACTTAATACGTTATATTTGATAAATCCTAGATTTATCCCTTAAGCCTTTTCATTTCTGGACATCCACTGCAGCATGCTCAGTTAGAAATAGTCACTGAAATCTGCAAAGATGAGAGCTATATGGTGCGTTCAGAACCTTAGTGACAAGAATCCTCCCAAAATGAAGAGGAGCTGTATTTGTGGGGAAGGGTACATATACAACTTACCCACAAACTCACTGTAAGATGCACAAGTGGTTACCTACTGCTAATATGGGCAATTTTACACAGTAGAGCACATCCTTTATGATTCTCTGCATCTCACCCCTTTCTGTATTCTCCCTGCTTAGGATGTATGAGTCTGAGGTAATATATCTGCTCTTTCTTACCATGACTTCCAAAATGCTCATGTGTTTTATTTATTCCACAGTTCTTCAGCAGCTAAATAACAGGAATACTTCTCACCCCACCCTTTCACACTGCTTACAGAGTTCATGATTCTGCATACTTTACGTTCTTCAAAAACTGTTTACCTAAGTAGAACTTACCCATGCTTGCCATAGACAGATCCGGTTCCTCATCTTTCTTAGCTGAAATTACAAAGAGTGGTCTTAACAGGCGGACATAAAAAGAGTCCTGCAGAACCAGACCGAGGCTTCACTTAGTCCAATACCCCCAACATTGGTTGGCCAGAGCTCTCCAGGACTCGAAACCCACAGGGAAGCCATGAAATATCAACCCTCTCCCATGGTCTGCCTCCAGCATTTCTACTCAGAGGGTATATTCCCGAGTCCTGCTGCCTCTGTTTTCTTGTTGCTCTTCAACTGCATCATCGTCATTCATTTCGTGTTGTCAATATTAGACAGTAAGACTGCAGGCAGGGTGTGGCGCCTTTTGGGCGCTTACCAATAATAACAATAGAAGTGTGTCTTTTCAACTGTCAACACCGTACCACCAAGACAATGAAACTTGCATGCCTGAAATTTTGCATATGTACTCGTGGGACCCTGAGGTGTGCCCTTCAGTGTTTTGTTTTGAAATGTAATGCTTAGTTTTAAGTAGCTTAAATATATCCATAGAGTTGCAACTTACTCCTTCAACCGCAAGGAGCAGACTTCCTTAAGTAGCACATAGTTTTGCAGTCCACACTAAAGTCAGGGGAGATACAGAGGACAAGGAAGAGAGTTGGGCAACTGCCTATTTCTCCTGCTATGGGGCATCCTTCTACTGAGAAGGGAGGGGAAAGACTCCTCCCTTACAAGCACATGGGAGTGCAACATGGCATGGATTATGCCTAGGGGTGCCACAGGGTATGATTGCACTCAGTGGGGTGGGCACCATGTGTCCTTTGAAAGCTTTGTGAGTCTGCATGAAGGCTTTGCTGCCCCAGGCTAAGGGCTATTCCAACACCAGGTCCATTTGGTAGCTAGTCATATCAATATTAATACTTCTACGGCTGCTGCTGCTGCTACTATTCCCTCTGCATCATCAGGACTAGTAGCCATTCACAGGATTATTTTCCATTAATCTCCTTTTCAGGCTACTAAAGGGGTGGCCATGAACACACCCGGATGCCCTAGATTTCATAATTTAAGAGGGTATGTGGTGAAGACTAATTTCATTCCAGCATCATGACAGAGAAAAATTATCTCTCCCAGTCATAATTTTACAAACTTTTATCTTGCCTTCTCCAGAGTAGCCATCCTTCCCCTAAAGCTCCAGACACTTTAGTCTTTCTCTGTGCAGAAAGTACTGTGACATTTTGATCAGTTTGGTTACCATATTCACAGCCAGAGTTACGACCTCTTTTTTTTTTTTTTTTTTCCAGACAGGGTACTGCAGGAGTCCCCAGTCCTTTTGCACCCATCAAGACATTTGGAAATGTGAGAAACTGCTATAGATAGCACCACAAAATGCCTAATTTTAAATAATAATAGATTATTATGCTGATGAATTTTGTACTGGAACAGTCTTCAGTATTCACTGATGCATTGTTTCAGCTGGTAGATTTAGCTGGCATATTGGGGGCTGGTGTAGGTGATCACGGACAACAATGCTGTCGTTTTCAGGCTCTGGTCCTGCAAGTTGGGGATAGTTCTGAAAGAAGCACATTGCCACTTGATTCATACGTGTTGAACAAAATGTTGCTACACTGACATTTGGCTTGAGGTCTTGCTCCACACCCATAAGTGTGTAAAAGGAACATCACCAAGGTGCACAACTCTCTGAGCGGCAGTAATGGTTGATGCTTTCCCATTGGGATGTCCTTGGAGCCTAGTATGGTGCCGTAAGCCACAGCTGAAGTGTAAATGTCTAGCCACTGAGAATGAGAGGGATACAGGAAGTCCGATTACTGTGGCGGGGAGACTGATGAAGAATGACATTGATAGCTTATTTGACAGTTGGCAGATTCCAGAATATAGTGGGGTCATGGGTTCTCCCTGAAACATGTGCATATTTATCCATAAATCTTCTCTCAGTGTCCACAAGTGCCTGAAACACCAAGTAGATCCCCTCGTCACCCCTCTTGGGAGAACTAAAATGAAACTTACAAAGTTTCCAATGTTCCTGCCACATGAGGAAGCCTAGCTCCTGGAACTCTTTCATTTTCTTCTATGGCCCTGTCCCTTCCCCTTCACCTGCAGTGCAGTGGTGTGGCAGAGCCAATATAGAGTCCACACTAGGTATGATTCAGTAGCACTCATGTGGATCACTGAGCTGATCGGTAATAGCTTTAAAAAAACAATTTTCTTTGTGGCATCAATAGCAGCTTCTTCTGCCATACCTCAACTCCTGGATCTTCCAGAGTACACAAGAAGTGTGTAGCAGTCATGTATTATGATGCGTCAGAGGCAGGAAGAGTTGAAGGGGAACAGGGCATGGAGGCCGAATCACGGGAAAGATACCGCTTCGAGTCCGTTTGGGACTGCCTGGCTCAGTGGCAGACGTGGGCTGATGCAGTGGATACTGATGGAAGTGTAACTTGACGTGTTATGGAAACACCTTAGCAAAGAAGGAAGAGTGGCCAACAGGCCACATTTTATAGCACAAAAAGAAGGGAAGCAGGGGGAAGAAGCAGTGAAATTGTATTGGAGGTGGGGAGCAGAATGCTGAGGGAGAATGAAAGCTGTAGTCATGAACAACTCTGTTGCTCTTTTCAACAACCCATGATGACATTGCCCTGCTGGTTTCAGATGACATGAAAAGCCACCTTGGGTATGAAGTACCCTGAAACAAAGCATGGATTTTCAGGGCGGCTTCAAGAAAAATAAGCCACCCTGCTAAAACTGTGCTGGGTTCAGACAGCATGACAAACTCTCATGGCTGATCACCACAGCGGACTGTTATATGGCATCAGAACTAGGTCACTGTTTGTATACATGCACCCAATAAAATGATTCCTTATTTAGTTTTGTAACATTATGCTTACCAGCAGGTTTTTGCTTCCCTTTGGGTGATCCTTTTGGGCTTCTCTTAGCGTTCAGTGTTTTTTTACCTTTACCTTTCTTTGCTGAACCACTACGAGGTGGAGAACCAGATTTAGAAGATAGTGGGCTTTCAGCCATTCTTCAGCTTTTTCCCTGAAAATTGGGGTGGGGTGGAGGGAAGAATTCTAGTGAGTTATAATTCAGTGCTTTAACCATTTCCTGTATCACACCAAAGTCAAGTCCAATTGGTAATACTCCATGAGGAATATACCTCTTGCTACTAGAACAGAATGACACTTGCCTAGGAGCCCACGTTCCTGTGCAGCTGAGCTCCAAGCAGTTCACTGTGCACTCCAAAAATTTGAGTTCCAGAATTCCTTGTGATGTTACAGGGACTGTTAATTCACAAAATGGTTTGGTTCATACATAGCCATGCCTACATAATTAGAGTGTCTCTTTGCAACCGCACACAGTTTCTTGGGGAAGTATTTTGGGATGCTGTTTCACTGATATTCCTGGAGATAGCACAACCCAGCACAATGTGAAGGAGGAAGAGGAGGGCAGGGAAAGACCTGTAGGGACTATTGAACTGAATGGACAGAATGCAAAAATACTAACTGAAGAAACACCAGGCTGTATTTTTTTCTCTCAAGCATGATAGATTTCCACACTTCCGACAGATGACTCTATTAAGAGCCAGCCTGGCACAGTAGTTAGAGTGTTGAACTGGAGGAGGTCCAGGTTCTAGTCCCCGACTGGCCATGAAGCTCTCTGGGTGACTTTAGCTCAGTCACTCACTCTCAACTGAACCTACCTCACGGGGTTATTGTTGTGAAGATAAAAATGGATTGCAGAGAACTATGTAAACCTTCTTGGACACCCCCCGTCACCCCCCCGCCCCGGTAGGGATATAAATGTAATGCAATGATAATGATACCAGTTAAATAGCATTGCACAGATATTAACTCTTTTTATCTTTAACAATTTTTCTGTGATAATGGAAAAAACAGAAGTGGGGGGAATACATGCAATGGTTACAAAGAGAAGACATAGTCTTCCGAAAACACTGTTAAATTCTGTGATAGGGGCAGGGTGATATAGAAATGACATAGATAAATAAATGTACAATAAAAGACTTGTGTAGAAGCATGTATGATAAATAACACTGGCAAAGGTAACAGCTGGAGCTTTTCCAAGCAGGAAGATACTACCTTTATATATGATGTTTATATTCATTTAATATTATTCTTAAAATTGTTGATGGCAGAAATCAGAACTCTAATCAGAAGAGGCTGATTAGAGGCTGATGCAGCATAAAGTACAGCACAGTAGACAAGGGTGTGTGGCAGTGGAGAGAGAAAATTATAAAAAACTAACGGCAGCACCATCATGTGGAAATGATCCATATCACAGCAAACAAAATTAGCAGTTTCATAATTTGAGTGAGTCAGAGTTTTCTTCTTTACATTTCCCAGATTATAACCTGATGCTATGGAAGAAATTGGGTCTTACAAATGGCTAACAAGAAGTTGAGATGCAACTCATACATCCAACCAAAGTTAAGTCCTTTCTACAAGGAGAGATTGAAGCAGCTGCTCGTTTCTTTCCAGATGTGGATTTCAGAATATGGAAGAAAAACAAGGATCCCTTATAGTCCTGAAATGAACATCATATGAGTGTTTATAGAAACACTACCCATCAGTTCTTCTGTAAGGAACTGAAATAACCACAAACTGGAAAATATGATTTGTTTCTACCAAGTCATCCAAACATTTGACTCACATGAACAGATGTAATTCTGAACTTTTTGAGATTAATCACAGAGCTATTTTTAAGAATGCAGTGCGCAAAGCAAGGCAGAAACTTCCGAAAAACTGTTACTGTAAGTGTGTGTGTGGGGGGGAGGGGGAGGAATTCAGAATATCAAGCATGAATGACTTTATTAATGTATCAATCTTTGCAAATGGATCTAGTCCAACAATAATGCTGGTGGGTGTAAAAGGAAAAAAGAAAAGACATAGTTAGCAAATGTCCTTTCCACCACAGGGTCCTTTAATTTTTTTAAGATGTTGTTCTTTCATTACTACCTGGAAGTTGAATTAAAAAGATGGCTCCATATCACATTTAATATAATGTTACATCCCTCATAAAACTCATGCAATGCCCGTTCCCGCTGGCAAGATCCTGTGTTTACTCAGAAGTCCCATTTAATTCTATATCTGCTAACGTCTCTGGTCTGAAGTTGGTATTTTAGTTATTTCCGAGATCCTGCCAGCCCTTTAATTAGTAATTTCCCATTTGCAGCCAATATAGTCCAGTATTTGCTTGAAGTACACTTATTTTATTTTTCATTAGTTCAATCCAGCATGTGCATGTGCTTGCATGTGTGCAGCTAAGGAAGTTTTTGTTTGACGTGACAAACCACACTGGGTTTTTTTAAATCACTGTTGGTCTGTCATATCACCCAAACCTCATTGGTATTTCAAGCATGGTTCGTTCATTCATTCATTCATTCATTGGATTTATATGCCACTACAATAGCCCATATCTGGGCTCTCTGTGCGGCTCACAATATAAAACAACACACCATCCTAAAACCACTAGTATTAAATCAGCATATTCAAAACACATTAACAATCAAATCCAAATATAAAATATTACATCAAATTATAATATAATATAAACATTAAATGTTTTAAACTAAAAATGACTAAAACTAATCTGGGGTCAATTTTAAAACTAGATAGGCAATGAAATTCACTGTTAAAATAACCAGCAAACAGCTGAGTCTTCGCCTGGTGCTGGGATGCTAACAGCATTGGCGCCAGGTGCACCTCTTTGGGGATCCTATTCCAGAGGTGGGGTGCAACTGCAAGGGCCCTTCTTCAGGCCAACATCCCCCTCACCTCCCCAGGGGATGACTCCCTAGGAAGGACCTCCTGGCTAAATATTAACAGATGGGTAGGGACATATGGGAGCTGAGGCTCCTTTAGGTACCTGGAACCCAAGCTGTTTATGGCTTTATACATATATACAAGAACTTTAAATTGGGCCTGGACTTCCACTGATAGTCAGTGTAGTTGGTATAGAACTAGTTTGGTATGTGCTCATGGACTAGTTGTCAATAATCGTGCAGGCCTATTTTGAACCAGTTGGAGTGCCCAGACCATCTTCAAAGGCAGCCCCATGCACAGCGCATTACAATAATCTAATTGGGGTGTTACCAGGGTATGTGTGACTGTGGCTAGGGGTTGTCTGTCGAGATACGACTGTACTTTGCAAATTAGCCTCAGCTGGAAGAAGATGCTCCTGGCCTGAGCATCTACCTGAGACTCAAGAGAGAGTTTTGGATCCAGGAACATCCCCAAACTGCAAACCCTGTCCTTTATGGGGAGCACAACCCCATCCAGGACAGGGTGTAGGCCATTCAACCCATCCGACTAACCTCTCACCAAAAGTACTTCCATCTTGTCTGGACTGGGCCTCAGTTTATTGACGTAGTCCTTAGAAACCATAAACAGAAACAAGTCTGTTCTATGGGTTCTCAGTACAATGATGTCTTGATGTGTCATCTGAACCCCAGAAAATACAAATCATGGTACCAGTGCAAGAACCAATGCAAGCAGCCCATTGCTGCTCTTTTCACAGTTGTGAGAGTTATCCTGCTCTGCCTTCCTCCTGGCCTAAAGCACTTTAGGAAAGTGGAAAGGAAGGTGCTTTATGGTGCCACGTTGGGGCACTTTTGCAAATGGGATTAAGAAAGAGGGACAAGTGGGAGAACCACCTGAGTGGCATTGTCCCCAGCCAGGCACTACTGCCTGTCTGATTTCCCCACTCCCACCTGCACATGAAGAGTTTCCTTCAGGTGGGCATGTGGGGCAGGAGAGGAGTCCATTAAGTAATGTTGCTCTTTCGCACTGCACTGCCCAGTTGATTTCTTCCCTTTTGCCTCACCATGGAGTGGATGCTCCCCTCTTGCTCAAGAGGTCCCTTCTGGAGGAGAATGTTCTTGTCCTCTTTGCTGCACTGCAGGACATGAGCCCCATTTGCTCAACAGAGCCTGCTTGACAACCAAAGTGACCCAAATCTGGCTTGCAATTGCGAATGTCAAGAGAGGACCCTCACTTCTCCCCATGCTGTCTCCTGTGATATTGCTTGGGAGGGAAAGAGATGGCAAGAGGGTTGAGATCTTCTGTCGGGCACATGGAGGTAAAAACTGCAAACCATGGTAACCACACAAGATTCTTTGTTGTGATGTTTGAACCCAGTCTGAACCCAGTCCTAGTGTAGAAACAACCAAGGTGTCTAAAGACAGAGTGAATACATCAACCTACTCATAAGTTTTAAAAAACATTTTAATAATTAATTGTCATAGATCTTTGTTTTGTATGTTTTGCTGTATTTTATTGTTGCTTTTAATGTGTTATGGTTTTTATTATGTATTTATCTCATGGTTGTGAGCTGCCCAGAGGTGCTGTGGCACAATTGGGTGGCATACAAATGTTTTAAATAAATAAGTGCGAATAAAACCCGTTCAAGTATTAAGAGCCTGCATAAAGGTGGAAAAAAGAAGAGGTGAGACAATGGCTGAGACAAAAAGGGCCAAGAACTATTTGCCTAAATGGTTATTGTTAGAATTATGCAGTTTTATGCTATATAAGAAGTACATAAGAAGAGACCTCCTAGATTAGATCAAATGTCTAGTTCAGTAGCATGCTGTCCACAGTGAAGAACTGTAAGCAACAGCTGTCTCCTGGTGCTGCTCTCTAGCATTTTCCTCTGAACGTGGAGGTGCGGGTAGTCACCAGTATGAGTAGCCTTGGAGAGATTTTTGCCCCTATCAGTTTGTCTAACGCCCTTTCAAAGCCATCAGTGTTAGCAGCCATTGCCACATCCTTTGCTCCCAGCTTCGCATGCAGTGAAGCCAGTTTCCGGGCAGAAGTGCAAGAGCATCCGCCCCAGCCGGTCAGGTGCCTTTGCTGCACGTGGGGCTTCCTCGGCTTCCACTCAGCCTAGCCACATCCCCAACTAAAGCAACTGCTGGAGAAGTGCCAGTCGGTGCTTCGTGCACTGCGGCCACACAGCCCCGTTGTCACTGCACCTGTGAAGGGCCGGGAGGCTGCCATCTGGCCCCCACC